GTGCAAAATGATGTAAAAATAAACTTTGTAATAAAAAAAATTAAAAAAAAAAAGTAGGGAAGGGGCACAAGAAACACAATCCAGGAGATGTGGTATTGTGGTGGTTTGCACCTATATATACATACATGGTGGGCAGCATACAAATGAAGAGTTGTAAACCCGTACTTCGGAATCATATACCTTACTGTAAACCAATATTGCATCAATAAAAATAAAATGGAATAAAATGAAAAAAAAATTATGTACTCTCCTGTTGCCCCCAAGTATAAAAGGAATATATACCACAACACTGCATACAATTCCAGGAATTACATGGCCACATCCACTGTCCCCGCTCATGCCTAGGCCAGTTTTTCAGCCTCCTCTGTACCCATCATTTTAAGTATTGGGAAAAGAGGAAATGACCCTATAATCACCAGAAATTGATACATGTAAAAGATCTATTGTCTCTCTTTTTTGCCAGTATAAACATACCCCAAACCTCTTTCTTATCTGGAGGGATATGTCACTGTATTAGAGGTGGAGGAAGCAGGGTGTAACCCTACCATGGCAGGGGTAGGGTAGCTTCCCCATCCTAGAAGGGCACAGAAAGGTCATCTGCTGGTCAGTTGTTTTCTCCCACCAACTTGGATTCTAGAGTGGGTAGCAAAGATACAGGGAAGCACAAAATCAGTAAAGAAAGAAGAATCTACACTGGCAGTATCTAGTGGCAGCAAAGTCAGGAGAGAGACTTCAGTGTAAAGTTTTAGACTTTATCTACTAACACCCACTTTCCTATTTCCATATCTGATTTTTCAAATCAATCTCTTCTCTGAATACCTGGCACCCTTCAATGAATCCTCTTACTGCAGAAGCCACAAGGCGATACTTTAAAATTTCAGAGACCATATCTTTCCTAAGTACTATAAAAGTTTTGCGAGTACATGGCAGCGGTCTAGCTCAATCTTACAGGTGCCTTCTGTCAGCAGACAAGCCTCACACTTGACTGTCTATACAGCCTTTTATGAAGTCATTTCATGTCTTGTTATTTTCTCCTCCATTTCATACCAGTTTGTTTCTAATCCCTTTTGAAACTAGACAGAGTAATTTATATATTTATGTTGTCAGAGGGTTTCTGAAATTTAGCCAAGATAAATTAAGAATCTACATCAGTAGAAAAAAGTAAATTCTAACTGTAGAAATAAAAAAACAAAAAAACAATTCACTACAATATGAGAGTCAGCAAGTTGAACTGCTTTTTTTTTTTTTTTTTTTTAATAGCCCAAACAGGTCCAACTAAAAAAAAATCTTTCCCTTTACTTAAAAGAAAAAACTTACCTAGGAATAGTTAGGATAGTGTCCATACACAAATCATTCTATTTAAGAAATTAGTTGATATATTTGTAGCTAAGTGTGATTTAATGAAATTATTTAAATGTATGCAATACTAGTCACAACAGGAAAAAAGAAAGTGAAATGGTGAATGTTATTACAAAAAGGAAATTTATCGACTATAATATAGCCATCAGGAATAAAACAGAACTCTGCATGGGGAAGACATTATAAATTTTTAAGTGAGAAATAGAAAATGTTGTAATACAGAATGAGACCAAGGCAAATCAAAATAGTAAAGTTGTCACTAATGACTTTTTTATTGCTCTTTAAAATCGTTAGTTTAACAAGTGTTTATTAAGTGACTGATATGCACTAACACAAATTGATATTCCCCACCACAACCACCCACATTCTGTATGTTCCTGTTAATAAAAACATCAGTTATCCACAGATGTTAGGTATACTTCTGGATTCTCCAGTATCTAGTGTAAATACTAAATGTAAATACTAGAGAATACTACTGACCTATTAACCAATCTATGTTAATATCAAGTAGCTGTTTTGTGTACAATAGCTTTCAAAATCTTCAGTTTTTCTTCAGTGTTGTTTTGGCTAACATATACCCTTTGCGTTCATATACCATTTATTCTGGAATCAGTTTGTCAGTACCTACAAATGATTGTCTTTACCCCTGGTTATACTTTGCTCCAAATTCTATTCTGCCTGATATTAACAAAGCCATCCCAGCATATTTTTTAAAAAACACTAACACAGTATAAACTAATCCATTAAAAAACTTTTTAAACATATTTGTATCTTCAAATTTAACACACATTTCTTATAGGTGCTATGTGTAAGTCTTGGGTTTTTATAGTTTGACAAGCTTCCCCTTTTAATTTTTCTAGACATTTAATATGATTATTATAAGGATTGAGTCTACCATCTCACTATTTGTTTTTGATTTATCTTTTGCTGTTATATTTGTTTCTACTCATTTCCATTTGCTCATTATCTCTCTTCATCTTTTCTGCCTTCTTTTTGATATTTACAAGTCTGGCTGATGAGAATAAGTACTATTTCTGGCCCTTACAACAAGGTACTATCCTTTTTGAAACTTTAAGATGAGTCTTTTCCCGACCTCAGTTAGTTTCTGCACACACATGTACAGTACTCTGATGAACTCTCTAGTAGGACTGCCACAGATCTGTGGGGCCCTATCTGGGCAGGTGTCCCCCTTCACTGTTACTCTGCTTTCTGGCTGCTTTATTTCCCCTTCTCTGAACTGTCTGAACTCAGGAATTCTCTCAAGTTCTGCTTCAGTTCCTCCTCCCTGTGCCACAAACTTTCAAGACAATTTTAACATAAAACTTAAAAGTTTTAGGAGGAAAAAGGAGAAACCCTTCATTCTTCAGGCAGTTAGGCAAAAGTTCTTAGACATGACTCCAGAATCACAATTCAAAGTATTAAAAAAATGATAAGTTGCAATTCATCAAATTAAAAAGTGTAAAATACCATTGAGAAAGATCGCTTATCACTAGATACAAATTAAAATCTACTATATGTATATGTCTGTACATACAGTAGAACAGTAAAAATCAAAAACACAAATGAGATAAGGTGCTGCCAGCATGTAAAGCAACTGGTAGCAACGCAAATGGTACAGCCACTCTGAAAAACGGGCTGGCAGTTTCTCATAAAATGAAACACACACTTTCCAATACGATCCAGCAATCACAGCCCTAGGTATTTACTCAAGAAAAGGAAATTTATTTCCACATTAAAGTTTAGTTGTCCTTTTTAATAATGGACAAAAAAAAAAATGGAAGCAGCCAAAATATTACTCAAGTGATTAAAAAAATTCAACACACTTTATACAATGGAATACTACTAATCAATAAAAGGAAATGAAATTAGATGGATGCAACTTGAATCAACTTCAGTGGAAATCTGCTGGAAATAGGTTAGAGGTGGAGGAGAGAGGAGGAAAGGTAGAAGAGAGATGTCCTCTTAGGAAACCATTTCAGTTAATACAATAAAAATGATGGTGGTATTGACTGTGACAGAAGTAGACACAAATGTCTGGACTCCAGATATATTTTGGAGGTAGATCCCAAAATTTTCCAGATGGATTTCACTGAGAGAAGTAATGGAACCATACTCAAAGTTTTCTAGCCTGAACAGCCAAAAGAATGAAAGTTATGAAAATTGGAAAGAGGACAGCATTGACAGAATAGATTGTGGGGAAAGAAGAGCTCAATTTTGAACATGCCAAGTTTGAAATTCTACTAAACAGTCAAGTAGAGACTTCAAGTTTGGCTGGAAAGACTAAGTGAATGCAATGTACTCAGCGACAACTTAGGCAGAGAGGAATCATGAGCATTCTGGAGCACAGTGAGGTTCTGTGCTCTGGAAGCTCACTCACAGGAGGTGTGAGCACTGGGAGTAATCCATTCTGCTGGATTATTTTTGCCGTGGCGTTGATTCAGCAGTGCATTCAACTGAACTAACCCTCAATTATCTAGGTTTCGAAATAAAACATTTTAAAAGGTGAGGGATGAGTCTCAGAGGGCAGCTTCTTAAATGCATTGGTCTTTCCTTGAAGTACTCATTTAGATTATTCTTTTCTCATCATCTACCTCTGCTGTAATTGGTTAAGCAAGGCTGGGTTGCTTCATGGATACAACTGCACGTTACCATAACATACTATCCTGAAAACAGAAGGCGGATGTGTACATATTTTATTAATACTCAAAAGATTTTATGTAAGACTCATGTCTTGAGATGCTTTCATCTTTCCATCACAATAAGGCCAACTTTTTCAAAGGGGAAGATATATATTATATAATATCTGTCACCTTCTATACTAATTTATATTATATTTCAAGGTGTTTGAAAATTGATTAATATTTCCATGGGTATTTGCTGATCACTGTTCATTATTCCTATTATATTACAACAGAAATAACAAGATGTAAATAATTTAATAGAATTTCATTTAATAATTATATTTAAAGTTCAAAATTTCCAGAAATAGCATTTTAATTACATTCAAAATGTGTTCATTTTAAATACCACCAAACTCATCATTTTCATACAGGGTTGGCTATTAGAAAATGAATGGAAAACAAGTTTTTTTTTTTAAGTCCTTACTTTCAAATTTAGTACACTGTAACTGGTAAACACTTATCTAAATGAAGTCTCCATTATCAGAAAAACAAGTTGTGTTAATAGGAAAGTAACTCTGATAAACATACACTGGAACATAATTCACAAAGGTGTAATTTTATAGGTATATTTTGAAGTATAAAACAAAATGAAAAACCCGACAAATACAAATAAAGGCAAAACTTATAACTGATATTTTGAACTAATGTACCTACGGTACTTTCCCAGAAAAAGTAGAAGCATTGTCAAGATTTTATGATGACCCAAGCTTTTTCTTTATGTTCAATACAATGGCCACTGTATAAAAACAGAGGACTTATTAGACTTTTGTCTTGTCTTGCAAATAGATTATGACCAAAAGGTATTGTAAGTGCTAGAGCTCAGTAACCAAGGTATTTCTTTGATTTTCCCTTACACTTCTAGTTTTCTCCAGGAAGTCTCTATGGAAATGCTTTACACATGGTGAAAAAAGAGAGATCGAATAATTCTGAGATGGCAAAGACTTACTAGAGTGGGTACTAAGACAGGATTAAAAAACGTTACCCCCCCCATTATTAAACCATAAATACACAAATGAAAAGTGCTATAAAAATAAATAGAAAACATTAAAAATGTGGTGCCTGTGGGCTTTTGTTTTGAAGACCTAACTACTAAACCACTAAGTTTACAGAGTTATTTTTAAAACTTGCATAACTTGTGTAAATACTTAAATTGTCCAAATCCACTTTCCCTAGCCAAAACAAACAGGTCATAATCACCTGAGGAGTCAGGTGAAGGCTGGGAGACAGGAAGGAAAGGGCGTGATAAACACCAAGTTAGACTGGGAAGGACTAGGACTGTGACTAAGCACCCACAGAGCCTATCAAAAACAGGGAGGAACTCCACTTTTCTTCAGATTTTACTGCATTTCGTAATCACAAAATGAACTTTCTTAATCAGCACATACAATCTTTAAAAGGGACCTGTTTGGAATCTGTTTGTTTTACTTGCTTGTTTGTTCTCATACATCTTAACGGTGATCGGATGTACTGACATATTCAAGTCTTTCTGAAGAATGAACAATTGACTTTGCTTTTAAATAAAATCACCAATAAGAGTATTAAGTCAGCGTTTTAAACAAATGAAATGCTTCACTTCAAATTAAGCATGTTTAAAATAACTGCTGCTTTGTCAAAAAAAAGAAATTATTTTATTCAATTATAAACATACAATAACAAATATTACACAATCATTTCCTATGATTACTATAAAATTTTAAATTATCTTTTTCTCTTCATATGAAGATAATGCCTCTAAAGAACAGTCTAAATCAGAACAGCATACTATAAACACAACCCCTTCTCAGTTTGTGGAAGTCAGTGCATTCAGAAGTTATAAATAGGTATGATGTTCTTCCATAAGGAAGGGTTCTAGAAAGATTAAAATAAAAAAAGGAAAAAAAGTTAAATAACCTGGAAGATAACTTAAGAATCACAAATAAAGGTGTTAGTCATTCAAGTGAGGTACAACCTGAGGGTCAATCAGTTGTGCTTTTTTCTCCCAATGGAAGACGTTCCCATAACTGGAGCAACTGCTCACCAACCTGAGGTTCAAGTTCCTAGATAAATCAAAACTGACAATCAACACAAATAACTGGATTGAATTTTTATCAGTAATACTTAAAAAAATATTGAAATATCATCTTAAATTTCATTTCTCTACCACAGTATACTAAAATCTTATGTTATGCATCATTCTCATTCTTTGTGTTAAGGGTTATGGAACTGACTTCTAGAAATCAATAATGTAGTTAGCATGTAAATTCTGCAATTATTTGTGAGAAAATGATGAGAAATTTCCAAGGACTTCTGGAATTTCCATCTGGAAATAATGAATTTTCCCTTTGATTTTAAAGTTCGATATGACAGATAACATTAGTATTTGGTCTGACATTTAGGAAAAGCACTCACTTTAAAATTTTAAAGGTTTTCTAACAAATTTAGCATAATCAATGTTAAGGTATTTGTTACAAGAAACAATCTTAGGTGACTGACTATATGTTCTTATTTTAGATGCTAGATTTATTTAATAATAATTACAGAATAAAAACTAAATTATCCTTATACAATTAAAGAGTGCCATTTAGTTCTCTTATGACATACTATCTCTGATCATGACAACAGAAGCTGAACACTTTTCATATGGTAATGTAAAGTGAGTCAAACTGGTTTAAATAAATTATTAGTTATGTAATTTCAAGCAAGTTTAAATTTCTTTTTATTTTCCTACAAATATTGGGCTAGTAACTCCTTTTATTCATAAGGATTCTTAAATATAAACAACACAGTACTCATTCTGTGTGCTAATTCCATTACCTTAATAAGTTTAAAATGCATATTAACAGCACTAGAGGGCAAAGTAAAACATAATAAAATAAGACAAGTCACAAAAACAGTACTATTTGTTACATAATTAAAGTCATAAAGAAGTTAGATACTGTTATTATCTGTAGATTTTAATCATATCAGAAGCTATCTTCAATTATGAGGCAACATAGCTTATGAAAGATTTCACATGTACAAATATACATTTACAACTTATTATGGGTATCCTGTAATGTATATCACCAATTTGTATATATATTACAACGTATATTTGTATGTTATAGTGTATATACAAATATGTATCTTACAAATATACATTTACAAGATATGGGTATGAGCTCTATCATACCTCTTCGGTAAACAGGTTTCTACTAGGTCTTTTACAAACTTTAACCAATTTCTCACATGTACATATGCAAAAAATTATTTTTATTTTTACATTTGTTCCCAAACAAATCACTGATAACAGCAAACACTGAGAAAAATAGAAAAAGAAGCACAGATATGTTTTTGTATACCTGCCCATCTCTGCTAATCTGAACTTTCTTGTTGTCATTCCAGGGATTGAGCAGATGGTGTGCAAACTGAAAAGGAAGACTTTCTTTTCGTATCCACTCCACCTTAAATACTCCTCCTAATCCAGCTGAACCCCAGTCCTGGCTCTTCTCTCTTCCTATCTCAGAAGACATCCTAGAAAATCCCTGTGGGTAAAAATGAGGGAAAACAGTAAAGGTAAGTATGATATTCAGATATGTAAATTCAGTATGAGAAAGCACTAAGGTTTTGTTTGTTTGTTTTAGGTAAATGTACAGTATAAGATTAATAAATATCTAACAAAACCAAAAATAAGACAATCATTCAATTTTTCATAATAAATTATTAACAACCTTTAGAGGAAAACCAATTCTAGTCTTCTAACATAATTTCAAATACGAAGATATTTCCCAAATAATGCATGAACAATTCTAAATTCATATTTATTCCATGAAAAATGGATATACTTAACCTCTAGGCTTTTACTTCCAAAAATTAAAATAACATCAAATTCATGATTTTGTAAATTCAGATAATATATCAAGTTAGGATAGGTTAAGAAACATATTAAGTTTCCTGATATCATTACTAACTTCTCTGATCTATTTAAATAAACATTTTACCAAAAAGTCAATCTTCTCATTACTTTTGTAATCCACTTGAGAAGTAGTAAATCTGAAGTTGTCTTCAGTAGGAGAAACTTTTATTTGGAGAGGATCTGGTAAGATAAGGCAAAACCAAGAGATCCCTATTCATCATCCTTGAGAAGATGCAAATTTTCCTCATTCTCAGTCTAGCAACACACATTTTTTTTCTTTTTCATGCAACAAAAGCCAGGTTTGTGTTTCTCTGTTTACTTTTCAATCTGTATGGTCTAACCTGCCAACGAAACAAGCCCATTTTACTGTCTCAGGATGGCTCACCTGGAAATGGCCAGATCCTTGAACAGAAAATACCAAGTAAACCATGCTGCTTTCCCAAAAGGCACGATTTAGTTTCCGCTCATTACTAGGCGTTGTAGACCAGATACCCTTCTGCTGAGAAATTTCAAGGTTTCTCAAATTGCTACTCTTCATTATAAAGTATCGAATAGGCATGTTTGGCCTTGGTGAAGGAGATTTTGAGCCCTATGAAAGAATACATAAATACTTAAAAGGTAATATGACTTTCCAAAATCAATAATCTTATCATTAAATACCATTTTCAAAAACATAAGCCAACATATTTTATAAATATTCAACAAATACAAATATTCTATCATGCCTGAAAACTTACACAAAGCTCAGTCAAAATAAGGTCAAAAAGTCAAATCCAGGTACTCATTTTCACAGCATTTGATCCCTACTTAAGAAAGGATGCCAGAGTATTAACTCTGATTTATCCACCAAATGTACTTTCAGAAAACAGTTTAATACACTTTCAAAATTTTAAAACAAACAAAATAATTATTCTAGCTTACTGCCTGGACACTGTTTCCAGGCAACGGTGCAAGAAAGTGAACATACATAAGACTCGAGTGTTCTCACTAAACTGTACAGCAAAATGATTAGAATTTGCTTGGCAGTGTACTTGACAAAAGAGCTTTGCACAGAAGGAAAGTTCTTGGGAACTACAGAGGAGTATCCAAAGGTCTCTGGCTAAGTACTGTCCTACATATGAGTAAGGAAAAAGGGACCTGAAGTCAGGAAGACCCAAAAGACTGCAATAAGCCAAACAGTTCCCTGAGCTCACACATAACTAAGAATTTTTACTTTATCCCAGTCAAAACAAGAACAACTTATAATACATAGGCACTGGAACTAAATTAGTATCAGAATTAAAATTGTTTTGGACCTACCTAGACTAATATCCCATATGAACAAAGAACCTTCATTTAATAAACATTTTAACTGAGCAAAACAAAATCCAGCAATATTGAAAAGGAATAATATATCATGATTAAGAAGATATATATATACACACACACATATATAACAAAAATCAACCTATGAAATCTACCATCTTAATGTTTCAATACATATTAAGAAAAACACTGAATACAATTCAATGTTTATACATAATAAATAGCAAACTTGATCCAAAAGAGAACGCGCCACAGTTATACCATGCTAAATGGTCAAACACTTAAAGCTTTCTTTCCTTCTAAGGTCAAGGCAAAGGTTAAAAAAAAAAAAAAAGACCTTCATTAATTAACTGATTTGATTGCATGACTATCCTAAGTGTAGCAACTCCTGAGAAATCCACCCAGAAATCTACTAGAATTAATAAGTGAAGTATGGTCAAAGACTGTGGGACAAATACGAAAAAATCAAATGTTTTTCTATGTGCTAAGAATGAGTAAGTGAAAACTGAAATTTGAAATTTTTAAAACTAAAACATTTAGGAACAAACTTACAAAAAAAAATGAACTACCTGAACTTTTAAAATTTATAAAATAGTCTTCTGGGATATTAAAAAAATAGCTAAATAGCTGCAAATATATATTGCTATGCTTATAGTCTGGAAGACTGAAAACTGTCAATTTTCTTCAGAGTAATCTATGGTATAATTCCACTCAAAAACTTTTTCTGTAGAAATTGACAAGATAATTCTACAGTTTTATGAAAGCAGAACCTAGATAGCCAAAATCTGTAAAAGAACAAAGTTGGAGACAGACTTTAATTGACTTCAAGATCTGTCATAAAGTTACTATAATCAAGATATTTTAGCATTGACAAAAAGATAAAGACAAATTAACTAAACAGAAGCATTCAATAAATAAAACACAAATTATTAAATACATTTTTAACAAAGATGCCAAGGTAATTCAATGGAAAAAGGGATATCTTTCAACAAATGATACTGGAAGAATTACATAGACAAAAAATAATCCTTCATCCACCCATACTCATAACAAAAATTAACTCAAACTTGAAGTCATAAAACAAAATAATTTAAAATAATCTTGTATGTTTTAACAAAAAAAAAAATTTTAAAATACTGAAAGCAATAATGAATTGTCAGCCCTATATGCTATCAGTTTTAAGATACCTCAAGATGGTTAAAAGCTAGAAATATTTGGCAAGCAGGAAAAACTGGAAAAAAAATTTACTCAAGGTATTTGAAGTTTTCCTTCTCCAGTTTATATCTGGAACTGAGGCCAGAACTAGTAACAGAAAAGTGTAACTGTTCTACAATTACATTTTAACACGTAAACACTGTACAAATTAAACATGTAACAGGGGAAGTGCACCCTCATTGTTCCGCTGACTTTCAGATACTCTACCTTTCCTGAGGATGGAGGAGAAGGACTGGCACAAGGACTTGGGTAACTACTGCTGTCTGTAGACTTCACAGAAGACTGATCTGATCGATCATCAGTGCTTCGTTTAGGGTGTAGAATTCCTCTATCTTTGAACTTTTGAGGCGGGTGTAGTGCTGGAGATGGCGATTTCATCAATACTCTTGGGTGAGAAAAATGAAGCAAAAGTCAGTATACAAAAGTGTATAATACAAAATGGTATTTCAAACATATGCCACGAAAGTACGATTCATGAAATAATTTATGGATTCTATATATTTAGGCATTCAGAAATAATATTACGATCAGAAAAGTAAATATGTATAGAATAATCTACAAAAATTTTTACCTTAACAATAACAAATACTGAAGTGTTATTTCCCTTATAAAAGTATTAACCTCTTTTATGATGGTAAATATGAGAGCTCTTTAACAATTACATTTCATATTGTAATTTACCTTTTAATGTCATAAAACTTATTTAAATACATCTATTATAATGACCCTTATAAGAATATCACTCACTCCACTTTTCTTTCACTTTCATATAATATCTGGGAGCCAAGCATACTAAAAATGGGAAATCACAAGTGGGCTAGCATTCAAGAGCAGGTTTCTAGACAGTATTAAATTTACCAGCAATTAGGTATGCGATACTGGGCAACTCTCTTATCTGAGCTGTACTTTCTTTATCTACTAAACAGATTATATAGGCTAAAATTCTGTGAATAAATTCTGTAAAGATAACAGAATCTTTATACTTTTTAAAGAAGTCTTTGTGGAACAAACTCAAATTAAAAAAATAATAATAAATACCAAGTACTTTTTGAAATAGTACAATATAAAGGCCACTTATAAACTATTCTTGCCAAAACACTGGATCTAGCGAAGCCCAGAAAGCTAACTACCCATCTACATGAAACACACAGGGCCGAGCAATAAATAATGCCATGAAGACAGAGTGTCAGAGCCGGCACATGGGTACACCTCACAGTACCACTGACCTAGTTTTCTCCAAAGAGTCAACAGAAGAACTGCTCTAGATCACAAGACTCAATAAACATGAAACCTAACAACATGCATGAATCCTTGCCAGCTGCTGATTCAATCAATCTTCAGTTTGAGAATTAGTGAATGATCATTTTCCTGGGACTCTGAATGATTTTGATGATATGGAAAAAGCTCCCTATTTTTAAGATGTGCATTATTAATATATAAGGATAAAATGTCATATGTGGCTCATTTTGAAATTTATAAAAAAAAATTGCAAATATGAAAATGTGGGTAGAGGAAACAAGTAGGCAAAAATTTTGGTAACTATGGAACTCACTATAGTATATCATCTACACTGCTATGTTTAACAGAATTTATATAAATTTGAAACAAAACAATAACGTTAATAACATATACAGTAAAATTAATAATGTACAAGTTTCCAAAGAGTCACAATTGTAATTACTGTTTCTTCAAAACAAGTTAAAATAGCTACTATTTCTCTTCAACATTTTAGATCTAGGGTTATTTCACAAACGAAAAAAAACAGCAAAGCCTAATGATACTATCATAAAAGAGCTTAAATGCACATCTGAGTTGTTAATAACAACTTTAAACTTTCATACTGAAATACTGAAGTGCCCTCAAAATTTCTTTCAGATAGAGTGTTCCCCACACCATTCTACTCAATTTTTCACTTAAGAGGAACAAAGAGATAAAGATATAATGCAAAGTTATCTCACTATCTTATAGAAAAGGTATGTTTGTCCTCCGCCATCAGATAGTATTATTTAGAAAAATGACAAGAATAAAACATTTTCATTTTTGAGTAGAACACTGGCAATTTCCATTATTGTAATAGTTTCTGCAGTTATATAATAAGGTTTTATTTAAAAAAAGAATTACTTGTTCTCTATCTTGCCACTCTGGAGTGAAAACTCCTTAACTATAAAAACTTTTTCTCAAAGAAGTAATCCTACAAAGATTATAATTTGTCCCTTCAAAAATAAATCTTCCTGAGAGTCCTGACTCTCTACTTGTCTTCAAGCTACATTAATCTAAGGTCTTAGTCATCAATATATTCAAAAGTCTGAAGGTGGATAAAAAGTTATACCCCACTGTTCAACAGGTCATAGAACTAAGAGGGCCAGGCTGCAACTTAGACAGGAAATAAAATAGTTGATACTGGCATCACAGGTGAAAAGAAAATTATATGATGATCAGTTTGTAAAGTTTAATTAATGTTACACTTTATAACTCTGACTTTCCCCTGTATTTTCAAATGTAATTAAGAGAGGGTTATAACTTTTGTAAAGGAAAAAGGAAACTCTTCTAAAATCTGTGTGCATATATGTACACATGTGTGAATTTGCACGCAAAACAGTTACATAAACATTTATACACACACACACACACACACACACACACATATATATATACATACTCTATAAATTTAATAGATTTTTTAAAATATGGGTCTAGGAATAATATTACCACTTTTTTTTATGGAAATATATCCATATATTCTAAACAATCATTGTTGCACCAGCAATTAGGGAGAAAATTCAGGCACACATACTAAGAGAACATTTTCTTAGTAACTGGCTCAATTATTGCCAAAATGTACTACTGATCAAGGAATTTGGAAACTGTTAATATAGTATTCCTCTTTAATTGAAGACTTTATTTCATTTAAATAAGCAAACTCTGATCAAAAGAATGTACTAAAAAGTAGTAAGCATCACATTTTTTATGTTTCTGTTTTCAGTTTTCTAACTATGAAATTATGCTGTGTGTCTTTATATTCTTATAATTACCTTTCTACCAATAGTACTGAAATAAGCAACATAGGTAAAATGCTTTTGTGTCATAAATTCCAATGGGTAAAGAAAAATTGTTTGAAAGAAACTTAAATTTTATTCTAATAAATATCTTAAAATCAGAAATATCTCAATCAATGACTCACTATAATCACCAGAAAAATATGAGCTCCCATTATTAATGATCACATAATAAAAATATAACTATTGAATTGCTAAATAGTAGCAAGAATAAAAAATTATTGCTAACTAACAAAAATTTCATCATGACTGTGAATTTACTGACTTATATGCCTCCCCTCACCATAATGTAAATTCTCTGAAGACAGTATCTTTCTCGCACATTGCTACTGCACTCACACCAGGAGAAGAAACAGGCACTCACAATGACATCGAGGGAGGCTCACAGAGAGGCTAATCTTTTAAACACACACAGCCAGCACTTGTTGGTAGGAAAATGTCACTGAACATATATTAACTAAAATATGTAACAAAAAAATGGTGCTATACTTTTAACAGACACTAAATTCGTAAAATCTGGAAAGTAAACACTGAGATTTTTTTCCTGATAAAAGTTTCCATATTAAGGGCCCTCCCTGGTGGCACAGCAGGTTAAAGCACAACACTGTGAAGCTGTTGGAGGTGGCTTTAATGCAAGTCCAATACCCGCCCCAGAGGTGACCCACACGGCGCGCGGCAGACCTCTCCTGACCCGCCTGCTGCTGCCCCAGCAGTGCACTTTGTCCATCTGCCTGTTCTGCTTCCCGCTGTCTCTGGTGAATTCTCTCACCATCTCTGAACCTCTGGCCTGTACCCCAGTTCTGTATGCATAAAAAAATCTTTAAAATAAATTTCCATATTAAATAGTTCAGATACCAGTTGAAATTCCCTCACATTAATTTAATATTTCTAGTAATTATATCTTAAAAGCAAAAACTCATCTTTTTGTAGTATAACCATTTCATGTACCTCAGAATATAAAAAACTAATTTTTAAATATTACAAAAGAATATGAATATGAGTATATGATATGAAACTCATTTTCATTAAGAAAATGTCTCCCATCTTAATAAAATATTACAAACTTACCTTTCTGCAGTAGCAGACTCATCAGAAAATTCAGTATCTGCTGAAGTTTTCCTACTATTATTTGACCTCCAAGATGATGCCAAAGGAAGTTCTTCTGAAGACATAGGCCTTGGCCTTTGGCCAATCCCAGATGGTTGTTGTAAACCTGCAGACTGTTCTTCAGTGCTTAACACAGCTATAATTGCTCTTATGGTGGCTTCATCAACTTGAGACCAAGGTTTGGATGGAGCTCTCATTCGGCGTAAAAATAAGCTATGCCACTTCTGTCTGAGCTGCAGCAATAAACTGGCTGCCTAGTTAAAAAAAAAAGAAAAAAAGGAATGCTTCAGTTCAAATGTATAAAAGCAAAATGTGTATCACACTTGCAAGACAATTTATCAGTTAAGGTCAGCAACTATTTGCAAATAAGATATTTTACACTTAATATCATTTACTAATAATTTTATTATTGTACAAAATAAAATTTTTTATTTGCCGCATTTAAAACACTAGAGACTAAAAAAAAAAAAAAAACCACTAGAGACACAAAACCAAAAGAAACAGACTCATGAGAAAGACAGAGACAATAAACAACAGGTGGTGGAATGTGATCAATGCTGGAGAAGAAAACTACAATAGCAGCATTCATACCTAAGTGTCTATAGAACATCCCAATAATGATGGATAGAGAACAGCTGGATTCACAGATCCAAAACCATGTCTGAGCTAGAAAAAAGATGGCCTTGGAGATCATCTGTGGGTTACTATATCTAAATGTGAGGTTCCTAGCGGTTATGCAAAGACAGTGAGAGGAGCAGAATAATGCAGAGAGCTGGAGGACACCTAAGATTTAAAGCACAAACACATACATAAGAGTCAGTGAGGGGAACCTAAGACATCTATAGGGCAAAGTTAAGAATAACAAAAGATGAATGTCACAGTACTAGTGACAAAGAAGTTAGGGCAAGGGTGAGGGGGAAAATTCAGAAGGGCAGAATTACCAAAAACGGATATAGACAGTGGTACCAAGTACTGAAGAGAAGTGAAAGGATCAAGGAAAGCAGGCTGACTGTGACAACATGGTGGGCAAAGCTGACCTTGACAAGCATTTTCAGGAAGTGAAAGGCTAAGTGGGAATGGAAGTGAGAGTGCAGTGGGCTGCAGAGATGAATGGTGCAAGAGCAAACCAGCTACTAGCGTCATCTACTGACAACATGACTGCCACCCAGTCAAACGTATCAAAAGAAAAGTCAAGAGAACTAAGGAATGACTTTATAAAAAAATTACTTAATTTGAAGACTAAAACTCACCTCTCACAAGTAATAAATAAGTAAAAAAAGAAAAGTGAATGGATTCCTACCTTTCTTTTAGAAACAATTATACAAAAGAAAGGAAGGGCTTGTGCAGCCAATATTCAGTGTTTTCACATGCACAAAGAAACAAACATATTATATCATGCTTAAACACAGAGCCACCACTGGGTTTTTCAAATCCAGTACTGCAATAAACCCAATATAGAAGAGAATCTTTGAGGGCCCTATAAAAATCAAAAACTAAGCTATATTCTAGTTGTAAAGGCTCAACATTAAATGTAACATTTTCATCATACTGTACACTTCAATTCAAACAACAGAATAAAGACATATTAAAATACTAAAAATATTAAATATTTTTATTAAAATATTTAAATACTAAAAAGCAACTTACCTCTGGCTCTAGTTTGAAATTGAACCACTCATCAAGTTTCAAAGCTGCCAAATTAGCAGTACTTCTATCTTCCATTTCACTATCACTACTGTCATTAGGAATCCCATCAGCTGCTCAAACATAATTGAAAGGAAAAAACTTTTCACTTTTAACATCTTATATCATACAAAACATCAAGTCAATATAGGAAAACGACTTTTAAACAAATCCTTCTAATATAATTTATTAAGGGATTTCTTCAAACCCAAGAGATCACAAATTAAATCTCAATACTTAAAAGTAGGTAAGATATTGCAAACACTATCCAAAATGAAACAACAAAAAAGAAAAACTTAAAATCAAAACATCCCTCAATGGTAGCTAAAGAATGTTAAAAACTCAAAGAAAGGAGTGAGAATACAAAAGATTAAGCAACACTCATGTAATTTCACAAGTTTCAATTCAAATAAAAGCAAAACCCTAAATATATCTTAGCAAATGATTCATTAATATGAAATATTAAGTTGTTTTATATTTTGTACAATGAAAATAGCACACAGCACAGTACAACACAACACAATGGATAAAAGAACAATATGTAAATATGAAAAAATATTTAGTATTAAAAAGCATTCAAATACCATTGGGCTTATACATGACTATTACAATATTTCTTTATTTACATTAAACTATCATATCAGTGGAAAAGAAAAACAAACTTCTTATGAGGAAGAGTAACTAAAAATACAAAATCCATATGCATAACTGATTTAGAAATCAATTTTAAGAACAGTGGTATGCTGTAGTATTTCTTTAATCTTTATGTTACCAAAAGGGCACTACTCTACCACATACACTTTAATTTCACAATTTGTTTGGTTTAGCATAAAAGAGGGGGAAAAAATCTCATCTCCTATTTTCATATCCTTTTAAATTCATTTACCTCTGAATGATGAAGGTTCTTGAAGAGCATTACTTGCCAGCCTGGCTGGTCCACAAAACACCAATACAGTGACAGGTGTCACTGCTGAACAACATCTAATATTAGCTATTCTATGAGCTCGGGTCATTTCATCATAAATAAGCCAATCTGTGGGCAGTGCCTGAATAGCTGCAGCTTGACCATTAGCTGGAGGAATCTATTAGGAAATAAATCAAGAAATTGTTAACTGTCATTATCATTGGATTTAATAACACTTTAAAAATGTAAAACATCCTTCAATGAAATATTAGGAGCAATCAAAAAAGAATGCAAGTCATTGTTCATGTACTTTGTGGGAAAGTCCTAATGAAGTTACATGTTACTCCTTCCAACTCTACAATTCTATTTGCTTCAGTGTTCATTTATACACCCACAATTAATTCCTTAAAGCAAGTGGGTATTTGGAGCATTTTTTATTAATCTTGGAACTATCTAAATAAGTTTCACCTGAAGACCTAAGAGCATTAAAAATGTTTACCTTTTTATATTGAGGCTGACTGAGAACTGATGTGGGATGAAATCGTACTTTTTTCTCCTTTGGCCCTGTCAATACTACATTTTCTCTGTCCACATGGACTAAGTTAGGATACATGCCTGCCACCAATGCAGCTTTAACAACAGCCCAGTTCTCGGAATTTGTGTTAACATCTCGAATATCACCACCACCTCGTGCTCTAACAAAACCTAGAAACAGGGGGGGAAAAAAAAACATACCAACTATTCCTATTGCGTAAAACACACTTTTAAATTTGTGTTTTTTACAAAGCATTGCGTAAACTATTTAGTGATATTCGAATTTTACAATAAGAAAATTCCTCTGGGAAATTTATAGTCCAATAAAGCTCAGGTTTACTCAGGCTAATATAAGCAGAAGACTCAACTGGGAACATAGGGGCTTATAAAATTTACATTCCTTTCACAGGGTTCTACATAAGCTGCTACCAAGAAATGTACAATAGCTGAAAACTAAAAAAAAATTGTGTTGACTTCTATAAATGACATTTTGTTATGAAAGACATTAATAATGGGAGTGAAGTCAAATAGAGACTCTTCATGCTGTAATTTTATAGGACCTTCATATTTCCCCACATGTGAGCCAATTCTATATATCCTTTGGTTCATTTCTTACATTACTTCTGCACTTCAGCTAATTCATAAATCCAGGCTTTATAACATTTCTTGTGACTATTTCACTGTACTACATACAGTGTTCAAAAGGGAAATTCAAAGAAACAATTCCAAATGGAAATGGCATACTCTTTTAAAAAAAAATCAAATGCCTTCAAGTAGCTGTTTGATGTTTCAAAAATATGAAGACAGGATTTCTGCCAATCTACTTAAAATTCTTTTATTGTTAATTTCATAGAACTAAATAATTGTTTATATACATACATGTAAAACTGAACTACAATATCTAAACTGATCTTTGCCAACAATTATAAATTGCTCATTGCCAACAGTATCAAAAAATAATAGTTTCTGCAGAAATGGTCATATTTTCTTTTAATCTGCAAGCAACAGTTGATGTTACATATTAGTCTAAGGCAGTTTATAAATAAAACCTATAAAATAATACATAGTAAAATAATGTGACAATATCATAAAAATTAGATGTAACACTAGGAAAACATGAGGTATGGGCAGGTACTCTCAGTTATTTAAAATAGATTCTTTGGAGGAAAACTTTACCTGATGCTCTCAGCTGACCAAGCAACTGAGTTCTCATGCCTATGATTATTTCCATGGTAGCTTGTGAAAGAAAATTCTTTTCACAAAAGGCTCGTTCCCAACCATCGCTTCGTGCTTTCTGCCATGCCTATCAAAATATAAATACAAGATACACTCACCAATCATCTTTGAGTGAGGCAGTAACTGAAATGGCAGTTACCATTCAAATCAGTTATTCACTATGACTTTCTAATCAAGTAAAACTTAACGTAAGTTGATTTACTCTCAAATGCTGTAAAAGTCACTGAGTTTATAAAACCCCAGGAAGAACCAAATATCAAATAACCTAAATGACCAGCTATGTAAAAATATTTACCTTTCCAAAGATAACTGTTTATTTTCCTATAAATAGTGAGGGGTGTTCAAATAAGCCATCATACACACTACCATCTGTATCAAAGAAGTTTATCACTCTTGATATAGATATAATATCCACATTAACCTCCTAATCTGTATTAAAAAGGAAAGTGAAATTTGTGGAAGTCAAGAAAGCTCCTCTTTGAAAATGAATGTTTTGCTTTGGAACATAACTAAAAACAGTAATTTACCCTCTATGTTTTTGAAGGAGCTGGGCAGAAAAACAAAGGATAGGAACTCTATTCTAAATCTACCTCTAATATTGTCAATCAACTGCTCTATCATCATATATAGTATTTAACAAAGGCAATAAGCTCACAAAAAAAGCTTGTGATTAGTTTTTAAATGTATGCACTAAAAACATTCTTCTGCAATATGCCAAATGAAATTTTCAAAAAATGTATACACCCTGCATTTAAGAGAGTTAAAGGTTAAAGAAGCATGCCCACTTTTCAAGAAGTACCATTTTCCTTCTCACATCTGAGTTTCTAAATTGCCTACTGTTTCCTTTCCTAAAGAGTTACATTTTTCCTTTCTTATTTTTCACTTTCCTCAGTTTCTCATTACTATTATCTAAAAAGTAAGTTTTAAGTAAGTTTTGAATTTGTTTTATCAAATTATTAGCATAATGCCCTCAAGCGTACAAGAAAACATGTACTCTAAAAAAATCAATAAACATGTTAAATTTGATTTTCTTCCAAGGTTTTTTCCATATTCTTTGAACAATACAATGTCTTCTTAACAAAAATAATATTGTATTTCTGGCCCACACTTTGACAGAAAGGAATGAAGTAATATATACAAGTACAAATCAATATGCTAACATATACACCATATATAAAAAAAATACACACATATACATAAAAACAAATGCACACATACATATAAACATATTACTGTAAGGATAATATTGAAAAAAGAAAACCAAGTAGAGAAAAGCTGATAAAATTATAATATATTAGCAGAAGGAAGATATTTTTCTGGTCATTAATAAAATCTGACTTTAGAATGAGACAAAATTAAAGTAATCTTACCTGCTATTTTGTAACTTTGGTCTCAGAAATGTTTAACAAGCAACATTTTCAGGAATAAAATAGCAATAGTACCTGGAATGCTCTCAGAAGTGCCATATGGTCACTGAAAGTTCCTGCCGTGAAACGTTTCCTGCAAAGCATAGCTGCACGTTTCTGAGAGGCCTGAGTAGGTAAGACAAAAGGATCTCGATAGGCTAGTGTGCAGGCAATCGTAAGAATTGGGTCCAGACACTTTAACACCACAGCACACAGGACCATTTTGCCAAGATGGGGTTCTACTGGCAAATCAGCCAAATGATATCCAAGTTCAGTGAGATCTTCCCATGCATCCATTGCATCTATTGTCTAAATAGGACACAGAACAGAATTTGACATGAACAAAAATGATGTTTGACCAAACCACATACTTAAGAATCTGTGAAAAAGAATCTAAAAATGTTTTGCTTCAACTATACAAAAACAAACTAAAAATACCATGAGCATATCATTCAAAATAAATGATTGTTTTACTTAAATACAAAATTAGTTCTATTTTTTCTCCCTTGGTTTAAAATTTCAAGTAGAATAGTCAGATAAAATAAAACCATGAAGGTACAAACCTTAAGCATCTGTACAGCATTTCTTACAATTAAAGCTGGTGGAGGCTCAGGGGCTTTCATAAGGAAGTCAGCAATAGGACAATTAACTGGGGCTAACAGCTTGGTATGCAAACAAAGTTCCTATAAATAAGAGCAGAAAGTGACTAATAATTAATTTTTATTTATATTTTGCCCCCTCTGTCAGAAGCTTAAGAAGTATCCTTCCATCAATTTTTATCTAGATTACCACTGCTCCCACTGCAATGTCTTCTTACGTAGTTGTAGAAGTCAAAAGGTAATTTCTCTAAGGAAATGACAAACTCAGTAGTAAAGACTGAGTACTAATTAGTTATAGTGAAAATAAAGGGAAAGGTTCTTGGGAGAGAAGATCTATGAAGGCCCTAATATAGAAAGATGTACCTGAGAACTTGAAACTGCTGATATGAGTAGCGAGCAGAGGAAAAGCAAGAATTTAAAAATTAAAACTGGAGACACACATGAGAGAGACAAGTTAGACTCCTGTAAAGAATTTTGCATTTCATCCGAAGAGGAACAGAATATGGCATATAGATGCTGGTAAGTGGGAAGTGATCTAGGAGCATGGATGACAAAGACATGATCAGGTTTCTCTTCAAAGAGTTAGTCAACATCTTGCTCAGCAGACCAAAGAAACAAATTAATTTAGTTTCTTCCCCAGAAACTATACAGTATCTAGGTGTTCCACAAAGTTAGGAAAACAATTTGAAAAGGTTAGGAAACCAAGCTCCAAAAGAACACCTCAGCATCTTACACTGAGATTTGGTTATTACCTTCTGTTCTTAGTTTTATTTTCTAATTTTCATTGAGAACATAAAAAATGAACACTGTGTGATTGACACACTCAATTACACAACAACAATATACCTATAAGCTGTACTATAATGTAAATACACCCATGTAATTCTTTAAATTTGGGGGGATTATGAATTAAATTTTCCTGAATAGAAAAAAATATTGATTATATACATAACCACACACATATGTACATGTACATAAACTGATTTTTTTAAGTCCAATTGGTATATGCTGAAATGGCTCCTCTTCCCTCACCTACAAAAATAGCCTCCTAGAGTTAAATAAATTTCTACCTGTAATGGCATTCTCAAGAGTTCTGGAGTCTGAAATTCCAACATATTCTGGAATCGGAGTTTACTAAATAGCCGAAAACAAATTCCAGGTCTGCATCGCCCGGCCCTTAGAAGTAAAATACAAAATTAAGGCTAAAATAAGGAATGAAGGTTATAATAAAAAAATACAAAAGCAACATGACTTGGAAACAAAAGAATGAGCTAGAAGCTAGATATCTGAATTTGAATCCCTAATCTGATACTGAGCCCTGATAATTCCTTTCCTAAGGCACTTAATTTGCAGCTCAATTAGCACACCTATAAAGTGAGATTCATAAATGACACAGACTTGTTTTTTTTTAAGATATTGACAAAAAATTTTTTTTTAAATAACCTAAGTATGAAGCTGAATAAAAAAGAATGCACAAATACACAAGGAAAGATGGAAAAAAATGGGTATATGGTGATGTAAACTTAATCAAGTTTACTGACTTGATACCAAACACTGTGTTCCAGTCCATATATCAGAGTTGTGCAAATTATGCACTACACTACCTATAAGGCAGTGCCATTTACTTAACCAATGTAGAGACTTATATTTAATTTTATGGATAGCAGAAAAATAGCTTGAGGAAAAGCAGTCTATTAATTTCACATAAAATCACTAGATTTGCTAATAAGGTTAAAAATGCTAAGTGATAGAGACACAGAAATATCTCTTCTCATAGAGATCAGAATAGGAAGCAAACATTAATTGCAGACAATGTAATATATGTTATAAGATCTAACACTGTTAGTTATCAAATACTTCCCTCCCTAAACACCCTTCAGCTTTCCCACCGCTTCATCCTTCTCTGACAGTTCTTCTATCTTTTCCCAGTCCTTCATTGCTGATGTTCCTCTCAAATTAGACTTCAGCTGTCTGCTCTCCATGTCTATTTTTGCAAAGAAGAACTGGGATTTAGGTGGTAAGAGAACTTGCGAGAGACAGAGTAGAACAGAAAAAGGTGGATTTACTGAAATACACTGAAGCAGGTGAGACAGGAGAGGTCTGCTGCACCATATGTGGGTTGGTTCCCCGGCCTGGGATTGAACTCAGGCCTCAGTGGTGACAGCACTGAGACCTAACCTCTTAACAGACTTAACAGAAAGGCCCCTCTTAATACTTTCAACTATACTACATATTTCAATTTCTACCCATCTTATCTAGATCTGTATTTCACAAGTCTCTTCCATACAAATACATTAATTCTCCTCCCAATGTACCTAACCACTCTTTCCATTTTCTCTAACACTAGCACAAAATTTTCTAGGACAGAGTCTATATGACAACCTTGACTACACTCTATTGTTTAACCCATACCCATGGGCATACACAATTGCCAATAAGCTCCTTAATATCTCAAAGCAATAATCTGTTTTTGTTTCTACCACACTAAGACAATCAGGGAAACTGTAAACAGAAGCATTAATGAAAGTTCCACAGGGTCCTGATACCATCATTTTTGTCTCTACCAATCATTTTTCAAAAACTGAAAAAAACATAATAATCAAGACCACACCTGGTTTATTAAAAACAGAAAAAAACAACCCCAAAAGTCTTTAAGGGCCTATCCATGACTATTACTTTTTTCTGCTTGTTTCTCACTACCCTCCTTTAAATTAAACCCTACCCACAACAGGCTCACTCTTGCCTCTATGGCTTTGTGTAGCATTATCTATTTGCAGAATGGACCACACAGTATTAAAATCACTAGTTTATTGGGCTCCAACATTTCCTCAGTTCAAATGTTACCCACTGATTTTATGACATGACGTATCTAACAACTGCACAGTGAAGGCCGTCAAAATTATGTTGCAAAAGATAATAATGAACTTTCTACAATTTCTGATCTTTATCCCTGATAATAGATTATAAACTTTGCATATTATATTGTATATAATGTTGTATATATAACATTGTATACATATCAAGCCACACTTTCTCACAAGAAGTTAACTAACACAATAAGAGCTGGGCTTGTAACAACATTCCATGAAGTTATAAAGGAATAATGAATAGTTTTGAACATATGAAGCTGTTTTTTAAAGTCAACATTCAGTGTTTTCCTATTAGTTTAAATGTATTAGTCAAATAATTCAGGAAAAATGACACATTTTAACTTTGCCTTTTTAAAAATTGAAAACTAATGCAAACATGTATTTAAATAAAGAACAAAAAGTATAAAATGAAAATTAAGTCTATTTCCTCCAAGATCCCTACCAGTTTTCCTCTTCAGAATTAACAACCATTTTTTTCTTAATGCTTTTCTCAGGCCTGACAATGCCTATCCTGTGTCTAAATAAAAATTCAAACGTATGCATATCTCTTTTAGCACAGGAGAGTAGACATGTGTTCTATGCTTTTTAAAAATTAATAAGACATTTTGAAAACTCATTCCACATGAAAACATCTACACCTGCACCTTTAACAGTAACCTAGACTATCATGGGACTGTAACAAAATCACTTTGCTACCAATGAGCACTACAGTGTCCCAGACATTTGACTATCATCATTGATGCTGCAAAGATAGTCTTAAATACACATCTTTACACACATGTGAAAGTACACTCAGAATAGAGGATGAGAATCCACCATCAGAGAGCAAATTTATCTAAATAGTGCCAAAGTGCCCTCTAAATAAGTCACCCCAATTTACTTTTTGGTGCATTATGAAAGATTTAGCCCACGCTTTTGACAATTGTTTTGTATAATGTTAAACATTTTCATTGATTACAAAAAACAAAAAGACATCCCACTGATTGGGAAAAAATTTTCTCATACAAAACTAACGATAAAGGATTAATTACAAAAATATAAAGAGAACTGATGAAACTCAACAAAACTAAAGTAAATAACCCCAATCAAAAAGTGGGCAGAAGAGCTAAAAAGACACTTCTCCAGAGGAAATGCATATGGCCAACAAGCATATGAAAAAATGTTCAACATCACTTGTAATAAGGGAGATGCAAATTAAAACCACAATGAGATACCACCTCACCCCAGTGAGAATGGCACATCTTCAAACAACTAGCAACAACAAATGTTGGAGAGGATATGGAGAAAAAGGAACTCTCCTGTACTGCTGGTGGGAATGCAAACTAGTACAACCACTATGGAAAACTGTTTGGGTTTTCCGAAATGCTGTTCCTTAAAATGCTAAACATGGAGCTTGCCTACGATCCAGCAATCTCACTCCTAGGTATCTACCCAAAAGACACAAAAACACTGATTCAAAAAGATACCTGCACCTCCATGTTTATTGCTGCTTTATTCACAACTGTAAAGACATGGAAATAGCCCAAATGCCCAAAAATGGATGACTGGATTAAGAGGTTGTGGTACATATACACAATGGAATATCACTCAGCAACCAAAAAAAAAGAAACACATGCTGTTTGCAGCAACATGGATGGAACTGGAAAAGATCATGCTTAGTGAAATAAGCTAGAAAGAAAAGGAAAAATACCGGATGGTTTCTCTCATAGCAGGAATATAACAGAACAGATGAGAAAATGATAATGTTTATGAACAGCTATATACCAGAGACATTTATGGGGGTAGAGTGGGGAATGGGATCAAAAACAGTAAGGGGAGGGAAGTGCACTGAACTATGGTGATGGCACATGGGTGATTTGGTGATGGGAAACCCAAGGGGATTGCAACTGAGATGGAAAAATGCACACAAATATGTAAAAATAAACCATCATAAAATTAAAAAAAAAAATTCATTGATGGCAGTCTGAGAAGCAAAAAATAGGACATCATTAAATTACGTTTCTTTTGATACATGAGATGCTGTATATGAGGCTCATGAAATGGTCTTTAACATATTTTATAGGTGTTCTTGTATAATAAGGAAATTAGTCTTGTCCTACACTGCAAATACTTACAGCTTTTGCTTTATTTTTTAAAATTTCTTGTCTTTTGAGTAGCTTATACTAGGTAAAAAGTTTGAATTTTAACATAACCAAAATTCATTAAAACAAAATATTAAAATGGTTAGCTTTGCAAAAATAACATGAAAATTATAACTAATATTTAAATGTTAACATTTATAGAGAGTGAGAGTAGGATATATGCTAAGTGTGTAGTACAGATGAAGATGTTCTTCATTTTATAGGCAACTGAATAAATGTACATTAAATTTACATTACCTGCCTTTTCGTTGTATGGCACTAGCTTTGGAAATCCATACCATTTTTAGCATTGTAACAAAATTCAATGCATCAAAGGATTTCTGTAAAATTTGAATCATCCTCATGTTAAAACTTGAGATGTATTTAAGAAGAAATAACAAAAAACATAATGACCTAATTTAACATGCCATGTTAATTCAAAGCCCCCTTAGATTACATAATTAGAACAGGGTACTGATTTTTAATGATACAGATATTTGTTTATAAACACTCTTGGGAAAAAAGAATGGAAACTAAAGCAAAAAGCTGTTAAACTTTCACATTCTGTGTATTGCTGTTTCTCTCTGTAATAGTTTGATAGACTGGAGAGAATTGATCTATTCTCTTGAGGTTATTTTCTACCAAATTTACATCCTTGTGGAGAATAGGAGATCAGAGAAAGACAATTTCTAAAATACTTTCCATGAAGCTGAACTGAATGAACAAGAGAAGGAAAACACATAAAATATGTAAACATATTCCCACACTGACAGAATTTTCACTGTAATTCGACAAATCCTTTACTTTCTTCCTAGTACTGAGTAGAAGCTAAATTTCTTGAATAATTTGTTAAAAAGAACAAGATAAGTCTAAATAATAAATTGTTTTAATGTACAAATATTCACCTCAGTGAAATCAACATGTTAGAATCACCTAAAACCAGAAATTTTCTCATTTAAGTGAGTTGTACTTATAAAAATACATATTAAAATAAAACTTCACATTGTGCATTAAGTGAAATTACATCTTACTCATACATACCTCTTTCACCTTGCCAGAATCAATAACAAAGACCACATCATTGACTGTGATACTGGTTTCAGCAATATTGGTGGAAAGAATCTGCAGTAGGATATTATTTTATAGTTAATATAAAAACAGAAACAATGACTAGTAGAAGTGGAAAAGAGAAAACTTTAAAAACCTTACTATTTTTCGAACACCTGCAGGTGGATTTTTTAAAACTTTCTTTTGGTCAGATGTTTGCATATTTGAATGAAGCATAAACACTTGGTATCTGTTGACAATTGAAAGAGAAAATATATTATGACACCAATCTGCTATTTAAGGCAATACAAATAAAGTTTTGTCTTGTTTACCTATGTGTATTGTCAGCAAAACGCTTATCATCAAACAGTATTCGATCTCTCAATCCAACAATTTCATCATACCCAGGTAGGAAAATTAATATTGCACCTTAGAGAAAAATAATTAAATCTCACTGTAAAGTCAGAACCAATCAATAGAATAAGCTACAATAAACTACATGATATAGTTCACACTTGATGTAGTACTTATAGTTACTATCAGTGGAATTATATAGAACTTGGTACACACAAAGTACTTATTTTTAAATCAAAGTATACATTTTGTTCTATACAGTTCTTTTAGAAAATATTTATTTACCAGAATCACAACTATGGCAGATATTGTACAGAAGGTGCATGATCAAATCCAAGTCTACTTTTTCATCATCAAAACTATGATGATAAGCTTTCAGGAGTTCTCTGTCTTCCACACTGAGGTCACTTCCACTTGTTTGAACCAAAGAACTTTCATCTAGATTTCCAAATTCCAATGAAGCACTTGAAAAAGAAAAAAGGATCAAGTACATTATCATTAAAAAGAGAAACACTTAATGGCCCTCCCTGGTGGCGCAGCGGGTTAAAGCACTGCACTGAGAAGCTAAAGCCACTTCCGCTGAGTTCGATTCCCACCTGCCCGGGAGGTGACCACATGGCGTGGCAGACCTCTCCTGACCCGCCCGCTGCTCCCCTCAGCAGTGTACTTCGTCGATCTGCCTGTTCTGCTCCCCACTCTGTCTCTGGTGAAGCCTCTCACCGCCCCGAGCATCTTGCCTGTACCCCAGCTCTGTATGCATAAATAAATAAATCTTTAAAAAAAAAAAAAAAAGAGAAACACTTAAAAGGCCATTTATTCCCACTAAATCCTTTTGAATTTTCAGTGGACCCAAAGAATGGTAACTGATATTTAATATCCTAGCTAATATTTATGTTTTGGTTTCATGTACATTATTCAAATGGAAATTTGGCAGTAAGTACTCGAAAAAAACCCAATTTGGAGCCATTTCTCCAAATTATAAATAGCCAATAAACACATGTAAAGATGTTCAGTATCATTAGCCATCAGAGAAATGAAAATCAAGGCTTCATTGAGAAAAATTTTACACCCACTAGGAGAATGGTAATCAAAAAGACAATTAATAGTAGTTACCAAAGAGATTGTGGAGAACCTGTAATAGTGTTTATAAACTGCTATGGAGAACACAAAATGGTACCGTCACTTTTAGAAAACAATGCAGCAGTTCTTCAAAATGACAGGCATTGCATTACCCAATGCTCCAGCACTTTAACTTACAATTAACTTAAAAGAAAAATAACAACATATGGCCACTAGTCCACAAATACTCATATTTCAATTTCACTCAAATAATAATCAGTTGATGGATGAATAAACAAATTGTACTCTCTCTACAGAATGGAATATTATTAAATTATAAGAGATGGTATCCCATGGATGAACTTTATAAATATCACCCTAAGAAAATTAAGTCAATTACAAGCCTACATATTATCTTATACTGACTGCCTGATCACTGATACTATAAATAGCCTACATCTGTTACATTTAATGGTTAACAAGCCTAAGCTTTTTAAAAAGAAATTAAGATTAATTACTGTATAAAGATTTACCTGTAAGATTCTAGAAGATCCACAATTTCAGACTGCCCAAAGTGTTTAGCCCAATCCAATGCCAACCTGCCAAAATTCAAATAATAAGATTTTAAAAAGTTTTTAAAATTATAAAACTAGGCACTCAAAACTAGCTATCACAAAGATACAAATAACTCTACAGAGAATGGACACAAGTTAACATTACCAGCCATTTGATGCTTTGCTGTGGACATTGGCTCCCATGCTGATTAACTGCTCTACCTGACTTGAAAACCCTCGTCCTGCAGCAACCATCAGAGCTGTGGCACTGGTTTCACTGTGCCTGTAATCAACTAAAAGATGGAAAAGATAACTGTCAAATTTGCATACTATTTGAAATCATTTTTATTTTTATTTAAAGAGAAGAATTCAACTTCAGAATTACTACACAAGAGAACAAATGATTGGTTGTGACCAAAAATGTAGAACATACACTTTTATAAATAACTGTAATTAAATAAATTATACTTACCACTAACATTTTCAGTTAAAATAAGATGAAAAACCTGAGCAAAGGCATCAACGTCTTTATGTAGCCATATGTCAGAAAGGCAAGCATCCATTTCCTTTACTAACCATGGTTCAAGGCAATTCACATCTTTTTCTGTCTTTATCAACAACAAAAGAAGCAAATATTATAAATTACCTGAGAGCTTAACCTTTCCTGGAAAAGAACAAGCGGCCACAAGACCAACTAACCATACAGTACAGCGAATGTCCAGACATAAAGGTTTCTCATTTCATCATAAACACTATTATAATGCTGTCTATCTACACCTGGTGTTCTTGGATTTATCTTTTATCTGAAAATGAGTTTGTCTACAAGAAAAAGGATTCCTGTTCTTCTGATATGTACATGTGGGTTCTCTCCCAAGCACACATGTGATGGAGTATATCGCCTGGAGCTTTTCAAACAGTGACTCTGGGTACCGGCCAGAGCAAGTACTTCAGGACCACCAGGTAGAGGCCAGAATCCACAGAACTTTAAAACATCTGTAGGTGATCCTAAAGTGCCGCCAGGCTTAAGTGCAAGTTATTCACAGGGTGAAAATGCTCTTCACAGAACCATATGGGTGTTTCCTATGTTAAATAATGATTTTTAATATTCATAAAAAAGTATTTTTGAAAAACACATAGTTTACTTAGATGCATTAGAACTTTAGAAACTACTAGAATAATGCCAGTTTCATACTATGTACCTTGCCATGCTCAAAAATCTCAAATTCTTCTAAAAAGTGCACAGTCCTGGCATAATTTGCATCACAGCACCAATGCATGTTTAAAAAATCTAAAACAGAAATCAAAGACAGCAAGAGCCAGAAGAAGACTAGAAAAGCAGGTACTTCGAGTTTTCAATGGAATGGAATATAGTAAAGGTTCCACCTGGAGATGAGGGTTAAAAGTAAATGATCAGCAGAATGGGTTCCTATGAAGTATTTCATTTGTACCCAATTTTGTGATGTAATAGAAGAAAAAAGAGAAGAAATTCTTCTATAGCAGGTAATGATCTTAGAAAGTCACATAGCCTAGCTGGTTGTGGTAAATAGTAAATAGTATTATTTACTATAGTACCAATAGTGTTTTTCCTAACTTTTTCTTAATTTAGTTATCTTACATTGTTTAGTTCATAGGTTACTTAATTTTGGTAGGATGAAATATAAAGCATATACATAGTATCTGTAACTATTTTCTTTTAAAAGTTTAGAAAAGTATTGAAATAATTTAAACTCTAAATGCAATGTTGTAAAATGTTGTATTATTTTCAAAAAGCATATAAAGTTTGAAATATACTTTTAAAAATTATAATTGCATAAAATACCCTTTAAATGCAGCAATTTTCATTCAAAACATCAGTGTGAAATGACTTACCAATTGACTGAATACTGCGTCACCACCATCATCCAATAAATCATACTCTTCAGTCACATTTGGTACAGTTCTCTGCCTTTGGGTTTCAGGCTTGAAAGCATTCTCTTGAGCTGTGTACCATTCAGTAAGTGTGCTTTGTTGTTTCTCTTCTAAATTATTCCCCCCCCCAAAAAAAAGTAGATAAAATTCTTTGCTTTTTGAAATATATCCCTTTGTTTAAAAAATTAAGTGAATCTGAAAATACTTAGAGGTAGGTCTTATTTTAGGGCTATTTTTAAAAATATATTAGGAATATTCAATGAAATATAGTAAAATGAAACATAAATACCCATAAAACAGCTTTAAAAAAATTAATCTATTAGTTTACCCCTAAATCAACCCATAATTATAAAGAAACAGTACTTAAATCATAAAATATTACTTAAATTAACAACTAATATTCATATGGTACTTTGTAGAAAACCATTTATTGAATTTTATCACCATATTAGTTGTTTCAAATAAAAATTATACACAAAAAAAGCTATATACAACATTCATCTTCAAAAGTTTCAAGGTGCAGTTTTATAATTTACTTAGTATGATCAACACTGCAATATGTCACAGACATTATTAATATTTCTTTCAAGTAGAGACTCCATAGAATTAAAGTCTTTACCCAGGATTATAAAAGTAAAACAAAGAATCAAGTTTAAAGCCAAATCTTTTACATAAGTAATATAGTTTTAAAGTCAAAAGGTCTCTAACCCTAATTCAAAAGCTGAAATATGTCATAAAAGATACACTAACCTCAAAGTACAGATGCAGTTTATAACTATGTTAATATCTGAAAATCCTGACATTAGACACTGGAGCCTGCTCTTACTTCATTACTGCTTCCACCCTGTACAATATGCTGCAGGCAGCCAATAGTCTTGCTCCTGGACCACCCTAAACCTTGGCTGAACACAGATGCATTCAACCTTCTCAACTGCATCCACTTTCAATTACTCTCTCTAGATAACAGCTTCTGGACATAAACCAAGATGTAGAAGGTATACTTGGGACAGTATCCAAGTATAATGTTACACAATTATATACAAAAGAAATATTCAATATTCAACTGTCACACAACTGGAAATTATAAAAAGTATCAACAGTATTTTTTTGTAGATGTCCTTGATAAAAAGCTTACCTCGCTGTTTTTCCTTTTTATATTTTAACATTTCCTTGTTTGTGTAGCCAGTAGTTCTTAAAATGTCTTCCAGAAACATTTCTTTCACTTCAAATGGTCTTCCCTGTACTATAGAAAATAATTTTATCATTAAATAGTAAATTTGTATCTTAGTGGGGCAAGAAGAGAAACAGAACCAATGTGAGTCTCCAAAATTAAATAAATGGTTAAATAAATCATGGTACATACATATTATGAAAGATTAAAGCTGTTTTTTTAAAGAATGCTACCTAGAGCCATGGAACTGGGAGACTACTCATGATGTACTAGCATATAAATACACACACATGTACATATATATTTGCACAGGTGTGTGACAGCAGGGCCAAGATGAGGAAGGTCCTATACCAGATTTTAACATCAAGTAATCTTAGGAAAGTAAGACATGCAATTTAAAGAAAGATGGGGCAACTGAATTTTTTCCTATAAATGTAATATTTCATCAAGGTGAACAGATACATTTATCAAATTTTGAAGAGGAATTCATTAATTTTTTAAAGATAGGTACACAGCCAATTTTGACTAAAGGAAATGCACAAATGTTAAGTGTAAGTATATTCAAAAGCAAATGGGCAGTTAACATGGGAGCAAAGAAACTACTCTTTCCAGGAATCTAGAAAATTAAGGGGGAAGTAGAAAATTTAGAGGGGAGTACAGGTTAAAATAAAACATTTTTTGTAAGACTAGAGAAGTGGTCTCATTACATTATACCAAAGATGGAGAAGGAAAGTATAAAAATATAAGTAGTGCCTACACGTCTCAGAGGAAACAAAAATGAAAGCTCTCTACTTCAGAATCCACCCCACTTTCTAGTATAGTAAATATAATATTCCAAGAAAGTATGTGTTCATAAAAATCCTGGAAGATATTTGGTAACTTAACTTACTATATATCACTGGACAACTTCCAAAGTATCTTATAAAAAGATTTACATCCAAGGCAGCACTAGAAAGAATTAGTTTCAAAGTTGGGTGCTTCTGCAACAAGTCTCTTAACTTTGTGAGTAAAAAGTCACTAAATCGATCCCTTTCATGTACTTCATCCTACAGTAAACAAAAATAAAACCAGAAAGCAATTAAAGCATTATTAATTCTTTAAAACATGACTAATTCTTTAAAATTATGAAGATTCTAGATATTACACTGTGGACAAAGTCAATCAGAATTTATAGAAATGTTAATAATTTCTAAACAATTCAGAAATAATTAGACATTAAGACAACTACTACAAGCACCAAAGTACTGTCTCTTCCACCCATTCTCCTCCAAGATCAGAAAGCCACAAATACAACAAATCCTGAATTAACAAAGTCAAGTTTAAAACATTTCTTTTTTTTAAAGATTGTGGTACAATCCAGAGTTGCAGGGGGTGGTGAGGGGCTTCACCAGAGACAGAGAGGGAGCAGAACAGGCCGACTGACGAAGTACACTGCTGAGGGGAGCAGCGGGCGGGTCAGGAGAGGTCTGCCTCGTCATGTGGGTCACCTCTGGTGCCTGGGATCTAACTCACACTGAAGTAGTTGTGGCCAGCTTAAAGATATAAGATCTAATGTAAATATGATTCAGTTAAGTGTTAAGACTCAGGTATAACTCTGATTTGAAGTCAAGAGCTATGTTTCTCAAAGTTATTTATATCAAACTTATAAAAACTTTAATATTTGGGCCCTGGAGGTGATCTACTTGCCACGGCAGACCTCTCCTAACCTGCCTGCTGCTCCCTCAGCAGTGCACTTCACTGATCTGCCTATTCTGCTCCCCTCTTTGTCTCTGGTGAATCCTCTCACCACCTCTACACCTCTGGCCTGTACCCCAGTTCTGTACGCATAAATATATAAATCTTAAAAAAAAAAAGTTTAATATTTTCTGAAACAACCTGAAAAAGAGCCTAAAATTGCTTAATGAGGCAGTACTTTATCCACGTATTTCATTAGCAACTAGGTTAACTTAGCACTCTAACCGTGAAGTTAAATGACTATAAAATGGGAAATAAATATTAGCTAAAAGAGGAACAGATGACTAAACATAGCAAAAAAAAAAAAAAAATCACCATTTTCATCAAATATAAAAACTACTTTTTTTCAATCAGAATTTTTACCTTTGATCTTAGATTAACATGAAATGTTAGAGAAGTTCTTCATGAAATTCAACAAAACTCTGTATTTACTGACACCAGAGATTCACAGCATGTACATTCAGATTTGGGCATACAATACTCACAAAGGTCCATTGCGTAGCAAACCATGCTAGTACTAGATACATTAACAAAAGATCAAGAAAAATTCAGTAGAGAATTTTCTCTAACTTCAGGTTTGAATTAAGATAGTAGAAATTGTAAAGACATTTTTACTTAGAATGTTATAACCACAAATAAGAAGCACTTTTAATTATTTTATTCTTTCTCATATTCGGTTAAGGGTACCTTTATTTAATACAAAATATTTACTTCCAATAATTGCAGACAGTAAAAAATACTTTATTATACCTTGTTAAAAAAAATCTGCTTTTTACACCCAATTCTAAAAATGTATTTACACGTTTCAAATTTAAGCAATCCAGCATTACAATGAATTTAGCAAAATTCTTACCACAATAACATGTGTCACAGTTGACAATGTACTATCTCCTGCCATCAATGTACGAAGCAATACTCCATTAGTACAAAATGTCAGAAGTGTCTTTGGAGAAACCCTTTAAAAAAAAAATTAAGAAAGGTGTCCAATTACACATCTTTATGCAATTAAAATAAAATCACATTAAACACTAGTACTTTATTAAATGTTACCACAATAATAGTCTACTAGTATGCATGCTTTATAAAGTTATATGAAAGAAAATCTTAAACACTTTTTGTTTGAGGATAAAAGTATACCATCAATGAGAGTCTATCATTACATGCAAAATCTGGAAAGCAAAGAAATAATGCTAAGAGGTACTACCAATACTACTGCTAATAAATTTATTCACTAACATTTATTGAGTACTTACCATAAATGTCATCATCAAATGTGTGCTCTAGACGTTTTTATTAGTCCCATTTTATAGAGGTAGAAAATGAGGCTCAATGAAGTGAAACAACTTGCACTTAATTATGCATGCAACTATGAAATGAGATTTGTTATCTATGGCTGGATTTCCTATTTACTCAAAACCTCAGTAAGTTTATAATGATCTCAATGCCCTACAAACTTACTTAAAGCAAAATGGTCATCTAACCTTTCAATTAACACATTCTCTATATGTAGTGGAATATAAATATTTAGTTTGTTCTAAGAATGATAGAAGATAAACTGAAGAACTATCTTTACCTGCTTTCTAAACGGATCTGATACCCGATGGTTTGACCAATTCTTTCTCTTCTTTCTGCCGCAACTCTTTCAGCCACAGCAATAGCTGCTAGTCGTCTGGGTTGAGTGCAAAATATACGGCAAGGAATACCATTCTTAAAACAATCATCTAAAAGGAACTGAGGAATCTGAAGGAAAAGTTTTAAATATTATAAAATGACATAATTGCATAACCAGAAAAATATAAGTGAAGCAAATGAAAACTATTAGAAGTGAAAAGGGTCTCTAACATGTCCAGGACAGTCATAAAATCAACCATCTTCAACTCACTGCTGATAGCTATAAAATAAAAATTTGAAAGTCCTTCATGATAAGAACTGAAACTAAAATATCAGAAAAATATATAAGTAAATAATCTCTATTCAATATAATTAAGCTCTTACCATTATAGACCTATTTCATTATTCTAAATAAAGCAAAAATTACTCTATATCAAATCAATTTTAACAATCTACCTCTTGGACAGATTTTTCCACAGTAACTCAATCACAAATGTACTCATGCTGAAGGAAAATCTTACATACTGATGTTCAAATAAAGATTTCATCATATTTTAACCATTCAATTTTATAGGCTCACACTTTGGTGATAAAGACTTACGTATTTCTGTGAAAATGCATAAGTCATCTACAAGTAAATAACTGGTGAATGTTACGCCATTTTCCTACTCCTTTCACTACCTAGTGATTAAGTCTAAACCAATAAATCTAACCATAAACTAATAAATCTAACCAGGGCAAGTTGTAAGCACAAGTCCAAAGTAAATTTACATGTCAAAAAAAGAAGAAAATGTAAAATTATACTGACTATTCTACTGATCTACTATTAAAAGCAAAATAATGCTACTATTTTAACATGCTAATGTGTTAAACGGAAAGAAAAGGTCCTATCATCAAGCTAGCATTTCCGACCTGTCACCCTGAGTGAAATTCCATAATGAAGTAACTTGATTCTAAACATCCAAATCAAAACTGTCATATTAATTCCACCTACTAGTCAATTTTATATCATCATTGCTATGATTACTATTTATTTTAATTCAGCTGCTACGTATGAAACTGTATGCTAGGTACTCTACAGATACTATCTCTAAACTTCAACAGCTACACAATGACTCTACTTTATAAGTGAACATAAGCTCACAGAGGCTGCTAAACTAAACTAAACTAAAATTTCCTAACATATAAATGAGCAAACTAATTTGAACTGAGGGTCAAAAGCCATAGTCCAACATGTCAAATTACAACTCTGAGTCAAAGAAGGCTCAATACACTAGTTTAGAAGTATTTTAAAACACTATGGGCCTATAAATTCTCAAAACTAATTCCCACTAGTAATATTTTCTAAAGTAATCATCTGTGATTAATCAATAATCATTAATAATCAATAATTTTTTTGTTAAAACACAAGCAGTATAAATGTGATTATAAAACAACTATTCAGTGGGACAAAATAATTCTTTTCTTCTATAAACAAAAAGATGAAACAAACCTGTGTAGTCTTGCCAGACCCAGTTTCTCCTACAATTAGAACTACTTTATTTTCCTTAATTATTTTAACAATTTCTTCTTGTTTCTCAAACACTGGCAGAGATTGCCTGAAAGAATCAAATTCAGATTCTCCTCTTTTCACTGGAATCTGAGGTATGCCATTGTTAAGTCGTCCACTTGTCTTGCTCATTTCCCGGTTTTCTTTGAAAATGAATAAAAGAATAAAAAAAAAATTACAATCAACAATTTTTTTTAAATGTTGAAGGTAAAAATAACTTATAGTGTCATTCCTTTCAAGTGTTTCTTTTGTACTCATACTACATGAAGTGAACAACATCTCAGCCTTCGTATTCCTATATACTTAAAAGTCTTAGCATGTGACAAATTTCGCTTATCAATTAAAATCAAATTTCTCATAAGTACTTCTGGAGGTGCAAAATCTTTTAAAAATGAACTAAAATCAATAACTACTAAAAGTAAAACACAATTTTAATATCCTAAAATAATGTTCAAACACAAAATCAAGATTTCATAGTAGGAAACAATGTGCCTTACACCTACATGTACGATTACATAAACCCATAGAGTGACTATAAATATAAAGTCCTAAGTAAGCAATAAATTTCCTAATTGAATATTTTAGCCAACATCTACATTTGGTTAAGCAGATAAGAATAAAGAAGAGGTATGATATAGTTTATATTCTTCATAAAAATATTTTGTGTATATATTTAAAATTTAAATTCCTTGATATATAAACCAAGTGTTTTCCATATACAGCAAACCTACTCTAACGGAAAATGAAAAATACATGCAAACAGTCATTATAGTTAACAAAATAATTTTTCACTAGGATAGTCAGTCCTCCAAAATAAAACAATTTCACCTTAAAACCTTAAAACATTTTATCTACCTTTGAACAAGTTAATGTACTGAAGACTGTGTCCTCGTTCTACTAGATGCTAAAGCATGAATTCTAAATCTCACTAATGTGTCTTGGCAAAGTAACACATTAGATGTGAAGTTCAGATCTTGGGAGTCAAATCCCAGCTTTACAGTTTACTAGCTGTGTGAATGGTCTTGAATAAAGTTTATCTTTTCTGAGCCCCAGTTTTTTCACCTGTGAAATAGGGGAAATTCTTACCTTGCAAAGGTGGCTTTAAGGCTCTATAGAGAGAGAGTTACATACGGTCTAGCATACACTAAGTGCTCAATAAATGACAGCTATTACCATACCCCTTAAAATAAAACTTGTCTAACTTCATAAAATGTCTTCCTACTGCATTTCATCTAAAACTTCTCAACTATTAATCATTTCTAGCACACTATTTATACTGAGAATTTTTTTCATCTTAGCTTTTAAAAAGAAATTTAAAATGGAAGAAAATAAAATTTTAAATAGTAAACAATAGTGTAAACAAGGAAGCATCCCACAAAATACATACCAGCTTCAACTGCAAACACATTTCCTCTTTCTGTTTTAGGCAGAAGTTCAGTACGTTCTTTATTGGTGACAGGAAATCTTTGAATTAGGCTCCTAACAGCATGTTTTGTATTATGAGTCAAATTACAGGTCATCATTGCATGAGCTGTTTCTGATCCATCTTTCTTCTTCACAGTTAGGTATCTATTTGCTCCCTTTCTGAATATTAATAAAAATCATTTATTTACTATATATAATCATTTTTTTCACATATGATGTATGCCTACTTAGAAAACAGGTGTCAAGCAAAACATTGAAAAAAGTCAAAATGGTTTGGGATTAGATGCTGAGAAATAAAAAAAAAAAATCAGAGAAAGTCTATTTGGTGCGTGGCCACAAGACTCTTTTCAATTAAAATTCTAAAATGCTGCAAATCCATTTTGAAAACAGCAAAAAAGGCTTACTTACCCATAAGTGGTAGCTACTCTTAGCAGACTTCATGGTGGATGAAACATCACCAGTTAATACACACTGGGAAGCAAATAGAGGGAGAAAGCAATCTGAACAGATTTTAAAATTAATTGTGAATTATGGCTCACTGTTCAGAATAATATATCTCACTGAATGTTTCCACAGTATGCTAGTAATGTTACACTCCCATGAAAACCTGTTTAAGAGCATCAAGTATAATGAGACCAGGAAAGCATAAATTGACTTTCTCAATAAGTATTTCAGATGCATATTGAGGGAGGAAAAAAAGTTTTCAAAGTTGTTTGTCCTTACTTTCAATTTAAAGTAGTGATGAGTTATAACAGCACTCATGTTAATTGACAGAAGTTTGTATCTTCCACTGATCTAGGATTGACCCTGTCTTTTATTACTCCAAAAGTATGAGGTAGAAAGCGATATACATAGGAAGGCCTCAAATGTGTTTTGAGTAACTTAATAAAATAGTCTATAGTACAACATTAGACTGTAAAGAGTCAGGCTATGAAAGTTTATTAACCTGGATATGAATCCTAGCTCTAACACTGACTAGCAATGGGGCCATAAGTGTATCATTTAATAGTTCTGGGCCTATAATAATATAATACCTGTCTTACAGAACGTTACATGATTAAATAAGATAATACATATTAAAAAAGTTACCAGAGTAAACACTAAAAAAATGGAAAGTTATGATTATAATTAGAGTCAGGAGCAAATACCATGTGTTTTGTTTTTTAGTTACCCAAATATTTCATAAAATGTTTTACCATTTGTTAATGTCACTATCATATTATAGAAATGAGAAACAAAGCCACAAATACAATAAAAATTATTGTAATTTTCCTAAAATTTGAATTTTTCAAATTTCAAATGCAATTTTTCTAAGATTTGAAATTTTCAGCAGTCTCTACACCGTAGGAATGACGTAAAACTGGGGATTAACCTATACAGTTTTAGTTATCTAGGTCTTCTAAGTTAGGTTTTCAATTTACCAAGATTTTTCATTTCTGGAAACTCCTTATTGAATGAATGTGTTAATGAGCTACAAACTCAAAATCATCACCTCCATTTAACAAGCACTCAGTCAGTAATGCTTCAATAATGACAGAAAGATAAAATAACAAAAATTCAACCTGATCTAATTTCAGTTTTTTCCCTGGTAAATCAGAATTATTGGATAAAGATGATCTCTGCAAAAGGTTCCCTTCCTAACAATCTTCCTGAAGTTTCAGTACCATTATTCTAGACCCAGTTATTTCCCCCTCTTCCAACACCATAGGCAGGAAAGTGGGCTGAAAAGAGCCTCCGAGGAAGAATTAAGAGACTTATTTTGAGCTGGTATTAAGCTTTCAATCAACTAGACTACATAACCAAAGATAAATGTTAACACTCTGACATTTATTAATTACTTTAAAACTCTCTAATATTTCTATAGCTACAAGATTTGATTTTCTTTAAAATCATCTCAGGCAGGAAAAAAATATCATCTCAGGCAAATATTGCTATATTTCACCCACAACTAATTTTCCTTATTCATTCCTTTATTATTTATTTTTGAGCACCTAGTATATATATCAGACATTATGCTAAGAAGGGAACTTTAAGGAAAATATACTCCTTAATCAATAATCCCGAAATTCAAATGGTGGGTCAGATTGAAACCAACATTTCAAATAACTCATAGTAAGCAGGTGCGAGTATTTAACTTAGCCATTACCACTTATAATACTGAGATAAGTATGAACACAAATGTTGGAACAAAAAGGTAACAGCAACCTATTAATTTTAATCAAAAGATTCTACTTGTGACTATTGCTGCTCATTTCTACCACATTCATCACCACAGAGACACTTGATAATAAAAAGATTAGGTTAGTGAAATTTTTATAAAATATTCAACTCATCATTGTGAGGATGGAAACATTCAGTACAATAAAGTTATCCTATAATGTAAGCTAATACACTGAGATCTCATCTTCATTCCAAGGTAACTGACACTACAACTTTATTAATAAAAGCCCTTTTGACTAGGCAATAGAAATTGGCTGTCCAATGTGGAATAGATGCCAGATAAATGAATTTCACAAGAATTTAAAAATAAAATGTAAACTCCCATATGCAACTTCGCAACTTGAGGCATGGAAGTAAATGTATTAATTACAAAAAAGATCAAAACGTCTAGCTTTCAAAGAGTGAACAATTAAACGCGTGCTATAATGAAGTTTTAGTATTTCAATGGTTTCCTCCTTTTAGAGAAAAATAACATCTCATCAAAGTTGATACAAATCAATTCATTAGTTTGCACAGCCTGCTACTGAAATATTTAATGCACATAAACAACCATTTGCTACAGGTCCCTACTTTCCAAACTGAAAAAAGTTTAAAAGATCACCAATAAATTGCCAAAATCCAAAATGATTACTTAAAAAGATCACAATCACCAAGGAGCAAATGTCTCTTAAAAAAAATAACACATTCGGGCAAAAAATAACACATTCGGGCCCTCCCTGGTGGCCCAGCGGGTTAAAGCACAGGTCTGAGAAGCTGAAGCCGCTTCCGCATGAGTTCGATTCCGCATGAGTTCGATTCCGCCTGCCCCGGAGGTGACCACATGGCGTGGCAGACCTCTCCTGACCCGCCCGCTGCTCCTCTCAGCAGTGTACTTCGTCGATCTGACTGTTCTGCTCCCCACTCTGTCTCTGGTGAAGCCTCTCACCGCCCCTGCACCTCTGGCCTGTACCCCAGTTCTGTATGCATAAATAAATAAATCTTAAAAAAAAAATAGTTAATTTCTTATCCTCCTAATTTATACTTCCATTAAGCAGGCAGATGTTAAAACCTAACTCCAAACCATACTATCCCTGAAACTGAATTAGTTTATGATCATTTCATCTTTTTGTGACTTAATGAACTAAAAGCATGTCAGAAATGATACCACATATTTCTGCTTTTTCTCTAGCGCCCAGAACACTGTTATGAACTCAGTCTGAACAACAAAATTTATCAGGTAAACATTAACTATTTTCAAATCTGGCTTTCCCAACAGCTAGCTGTACTTTGGGAAAATCATTTAACCTCCCTAAGCTTGAATTACCTTATCTGTTTTACAGATAACAAATATTAATAAGAAGATACAGCATAGAAGACTGCTATGAAGATTAAATGATAATCTAATTAAAGCATATATGCGATGTCTGTCACACAAGAGCACTTAATAAATGTCAGCTGCTATTATTATTACTTTTGGACACCATGGGCATTTATTTTCGAATAGTATCTAAACAACTCATTAAGAGTTTATAATTTTTTATTCACTTTTCCAATTTTAGCTGTGGGAAGAGAGCATGAGGAAAAGGTTAGGGAGGCAGTAACCCAAATCAGAAAGTGGGGGCTTTCTTCTAAGAGTAGAACCTCCTGGTTAGGTGAGTAGAGTTCTGGGATTCCAATTAAGCAGTGGCATTAGCAATCACAGAAGACGACACCGGTACCAGAAAACCTACTTGTATGTATTTTGTGTTATTTTTTTCCTCACAACTTTATTTTGTAAATTTTATTTTGGCTAATGTAGATAAAGGATAAGAAAGTGATTTCGTTCTGTTCGTGTAAAAGTCAAAGGCTCAGAAAAGTATAATCTTAGGACCAAAATGCACTCAACGGAGTGATCTCAGTTGCAGAAAAAAGGAAATACATTATAAGAAGGTGAAATTTCTGTATGAGCCAATGGCTATAATTGAAATAGAACTTTAGGATATAATGAACAACACAAAATGGGAGCTTTACAAGAGTATTTTCACCAAAAGACGATCAAGGATAAAAAAATAATTGCACAGTAAATTCAAATCTTTGAGAAGAGTTGAAATACCAAATCCAACACACATGGCTTCAATGTGAAAGAAAGAAAATCAAAATGAAGAAAGTCTTTTGCAAAAACTATCATGCATCAAGCCTGCAAGCTATTTCTTAAAAACCTTATACAAAGCTCAAAATAAACCCCAGAATCACAGCGTTAAGTAAAACAACCAGATCACATTTTACATTGAAGAAATTAGGCTTTAAAGTTAACAGAAATGGTCAAAGCCAGAGAAAGAGGCTGTAAGACATCTGGAACTGAGCAGGTTTACTGCCCTTTCCACACCAGGTTTTCACTCAACCATGTATTAAACAACCATGATGGAAAAAAAGTAGAAAAATTAACTAGTTAAGCTAATGAAGTTAATGGTAGGTGCTGATTAAAGAAAAAAAAAGAGAAAAAACATGAAATATATAGTAGTTATGCATTCTCATATAAATGAAAAGAAAGAACTTGAGAAGTATATTCTGGGTGACTTAGTTCTGTATGCGCGAACAAGGAAAGGCATTTGAAAATGACAAGTTCCACTAGATAAACACCACAGTAAGCCTGTTCGAAGATAAGAAGGGGAGGGAAAGAAGCTGGATATGTTATAAGCAGAGGGTTTATGCATGATTAGAGGTCTTAGAAACTGGGTAAGAAGGCAGGTGACCTTGCATTTTTTTTCTTTTTCCTTTTCTGACTCTTCAATGTTTCGTCATTAACCATTTTTTAAAAAAAGATTTTATTTATTTATACAGAACTGGGGTACAGGCCAGAGATGTGGAGGGCAAGAGGATTCACCAGAGACAGAGCAGAGAGCAGAGCAGGCAGATCTAGGAAGTACACCACTGAGGGGAGCAGCGGGCAGGCCAGGAGAGGTCTGCCAAGCCATGTGGATCACCTCCGGGGCAGGAGGGGGTCGAACTCATGAGGAAGCGGCCCCAGCTTCTAGTGCTGTGCTTTAACCCACTGCGCCACCAGGGAGGGCCCATCCCTCATTAACCGTTTTTAGCTCTGCATTTCCCCAGATATTTCTCCATTCTGAACTATCCCCTACATGATCATGCTACTAAATTGAAGCACATAGGGGCAGTCTATCTAGTAGACTGCTGGTCTTAAGAATAATTTACAATGGTCACTTCTAAAGTAGCTACTAGAATTAACCATAGAAATCCCCAAAGTACACAGAACTGTACATTCCTAACACCTTTTCAGGATAGGTCCTGCAACTCTTAAATTCAAACAGTTCTGGAAACTGGAGGACTCTATAGCTTCGCCATAACTTTATTTGGCATCAAAGAGGGATTAAAATGGCATGAGGCTACCTGCAGTCTGCATTTATTTGAATGTGACTATTCAGACATTTTCCAGCAGAAATATTCATGCTATCAAGGATGGTACTTGTGCCATCTTAGGGATATTATATAATTTATAGCAATGTATTCTAATAATTTCCTAAAATATGGAAATTCTGAATCTCAAAATAAATCTGCCAGGTGTTTTTAGATAAAGGGTTGTGACACCACTTTTATTTTCCAGTGTAATGTTCCTCTTTCCCAGTGGAACTCCAATGGGTGTGCATGCAGGGAGCTTACCTACTGTTCACAGCACATCGCCCAGGCTACAGTCCTTACCCCAGGAGGTAACACCACCACTGCAGTGGGCGTTTTTACGTAAGACACTCCTCTACTTACTACTTTCATCTTAGGACTTATTACTGTTCACTTATTTATTAATATTTTTACTTAGTAAATGTTGTTTTCCTTCTGAAGCTAAAACATGTTAAGTTTCCATGATCTTTTCCCCATTTTCAGTGGTCTTCAACCAAGCATAATTTTACTCCCTTGGAACATTTGGTAATGTCAAAAGTGATTTTTGACTATCATAACTGAAGGAAGAAGTGTTACTGGCGTCCAGTGAGGTAGAGGCTAGTTACCCTGCTAAACATCCTTTAATGCACACAACCAGCCCCCAAATGTCAACGGCACCAATACAGAAAACCAGTGCATCAATCCCACCATCCATATGCCAAATGAAGTAGCTCTACTTTTAACAATTCAGCATGGAAGGATCAAGTGACCTTTCTTCCATTTGGTCAGAAACCCTTACATAGATCCACTGTTTCCTCTTTTTCGTTTTATTTAGTCATTTCTAACTAGATTTTGGCTTGGTGGAAAAGAAAACCAACTAATGTGTTATAGTACTTTAATCTTAAAGGGGATAAGTTGTACAAATAATTGTAGCTATTATGTATAATCTTAAAAAAATTGCCATCTGAAAATATATTGTCCAAAAGAAATCAATGTCAAGTTCTAAATTATTATTTTTTACATCTTAAAAATTACTTTTTTTTTTTTTTTTTTGCTCCTAGAGAACACAAAAAAGGGCTTGGGGGTAAACAGCTGAGTTTAGTAGTGACTTATGAATGTATACTATAATACTGATGTCAATCTAAGACAGTAACAACTATATAAATGTAGTGAGAAACATTTCTGTTTTTGGTAAATGAAACAAAATTTTTTTAATAAGAGAAACTATGAGCTTACCCTTTACTTTTAGAGACCAAACCAAGAGACTGACTCAATCGATGAATAAAGGCTCTTTCAGTACTGGTCAAAGAAGAAGGAAATTCCATTTCTACATGGGGGGAAAAAAAAAAACAACCACTAAGTACCATTTGGGAATACGTGATTTTCTTTGATGAAAGATACTTCAGCACACATACAAAGATATAAAATATGAAAAAAAATCATATGCATATAATCAAATTATTAATACATTTTGCAAAAATATGGTAGTAAGTGAACATCTACCAAATGATACTAATAAACTAAACGAAAATGTGATAAAAGATTTTAGCCAAAGTCTTTATCACCATAGATTACTCCACATATCTGTGCTGGAATCTTGAATTGGTTGCAAGTTGAGGACCATATTTCACTGTCTGAAACTGTCCTTACTTGCTAAAAACACGATTTTCCCGCCAACATAAGGAATATGCAAGCGTGATGAATGGTCAAGGTGAAAACACCCTACTCTTTGCTTCCACGCTGCATCTCATTCTTACTCCACGGTCTCAGACTAGATTTGATGCTGTGTATTGCTCAAATTTTGCCTTAACTGAGCTCAGAATCATTGCGACCAGGTCATTCCCTGCCTGGGACTGGAAGTTTTTGAAGTGAGGGGTGCATTTGGGGGCCTGCAACTCAGAAAGTGGCCTCATCGCGGTCCGATCCCTAGGGGCGACCGGTTTATACACGGGGTGCTGGGATACACTGTCATCCAAGGGAAGTTTTCTCATCTTAAGAGTCGTGGAAGAGATTTCATACACTTTGCCAAGTTTCACGTTTTTAGTGATTGTTTTTTAAGTGGGAGGGTCCCCAAGAATTAAACAAAGCACGACGTGGCGCCGGTGCCTTTGAGCAGATTTCCTCCTCCTACTGGGCAGCTTCAACGAGACTAGGTCAAGGCTCTCACACGCCCTTAAGAAACAAAAAACTGGGGCTCACCAATACAGACCGCTGTGGCCTCGCCGCACAGAGAGGCCACCGGCAACCTGCGAGGGCGCAGCCTGACACTTGCACCTTCGCCGCCCGGCAGGTGTCCCGCAAGCGCTGACCCTCAGGTCGCCCAGTGCTTCTCCACCTCCCCACCGTCTCGGGGGGCGGCCGGAGAGGCGGCTCGAGCGAACCCGGGGGCGCTCAGATCTCCCCTCCCTCTCGGAGGCCGCCCCACCCCTCGGGGGTTCGGGTCTGGGGGAGGTGGGGCAGCGGCGCGGACGCCGTCGGGAGCCTCACCTCTTTGGTCCCCATAGCGGAAGCGCTCCAGAGCGATATTCA